GAGCTGTCAGGAGACAATAACTATTCCCTAATAGAATTTACCCCCCAAGTGCAATTTAATTTTCTCCCGGAGCTCTGAGCCCTTCTCCCTCTCTCTCTGCTCCTCTTCCTGCAACACACGCTCCGAGACACGGTGCTGCTGCTGCCCGGTGCTGAGCTCTGGATCCCGGGGACACTGTGGACTGTCTGCCGCCAAGAGCACCGGATCATCCTGCAGAGAAAAGAGGAGAAGAAGAAGAAGAAGAAGAAGAAGAGGAGGAGGAGGAGGAGGAGGAAGAGAGAGAGGAAGAATCACGGTGAGTAGGTGTCTGCTGCACGGTGCTGCTGTGTTCATCCTACAAGCTCCTAGGAAAGCCTCCTCCTGACGGGAAGTCACTGAGGTGTCACGCACTTCCTTTGTGTTGATTGTAAATATACAAGGACATGTGCCACAGCTGTTTTTTAACACAAGATGGTCGTGCAATAGCGTTAGATACTCAATATGGGGGCGTCTGTGAAATTGGAAATAATGGTAAACAGATACAAGCATGTATTTAAATAGTAATACGCATTACATGGTTGATGTTTTGGTTCACTGTGAAGCAGTCAGTGCTGTATGAGAGAGCTCATTTTGCATATAAATATGTATATGAATAGAGAGGTCTTCTGTATTTCTGACTGCTGTTCTGAAATACATGATCTAATTATTAGATCTGCTGCTATATATTCATCTTGCAAGCTTAGGAAAAAGCATCTTCCCTGACGTAAAGTCACTGCGATAAAGTGCATTTTCTTAGATTGTAAATATAGGCCTACAGGGACATGTGCAACAGCTGTTTTGCATATACGATGTGTGGGCGTCTGCAAAACTGGAAATAATACCAAACATATTACAGCCGGAATTTGCACACATTATAAATAATAATAACTATGGGGGAAACTTCTGTGTAGCAATGCAGGAGGAGTCAGGACTCAGAGAGACACGGGGAGAGCTGGAGCTTTGATGGAGTCAGGACTCAGAGAGACACGGGGAGAGCTGGAGCTTTGATGGCAAACACTGACGGTTTATTTGGAGCTTGGAGAATTCACGAAACAAGTCAAAGAGCCAGAGGTTCTGACTTCACGGTAGAGTTACCACGTCAACTCTGAAGATCTCTACCCCAGACCGTGTGTTTAGTTCAGAGAGAATAATCAACATGCTGCATAACAAGATAGAATGATAACACCTCTATCAGCTGACGCCAGCAGGCAGGAGCAGGGAGACAGAACACTGAGAGCAGCAGCCCAGGTTACAGGTGCGTGCGCTCAGTCAGGACAGAACTGATCAACTGGGTCACAGTTATGGGCCTCGGGACATATTTCCCCAACAGTAAAAGCAGGTGATGTTTCGGCTCATGATGGAGCAGCTAGAGCTCCTCCTGAGATATAATGCATTTCCTTTGTACTGATTATGAACACAGGGAAATGTGTTTTTGCACACAACATATTCGTGCAATAGTGTTTACTCTTCAATATGTGGGTGTCCGTAAACTTAACAAATAATGTTAAACAAAGCCTGAATTTGCAACCTTAAGAAATAATAATAAATGCATTAATTATGAAATGTGTTGTCTCATTATCACGCAGTGCTGCATCAGAGCTCCTCCTGCATGTATGTCTGAGTGCCTGAGATGTGGATCTAACATGTCAATGATGTGCTGTTCTGAAATATTAGATCTAATTACATCCTGCTGGGTCAGCGCGGAGCACAGGAGGCGACCCTCGCTGTGAGTTATGGTGCTTCCTCTGTAGCTGCTGAATACCAGTCGCCCCACAAAGAGCAGCGTTATCATCATTTCACCAGTATTTCCTTTCCTGGGTTTCTGCGCATTTTTTAAGGATGAAATTCTACATTACATTTTCTCCAGAAGTGCATTTGTTCCTTATAATGTTACTATTATTCTTTGCTTGGGTTTGAGTGCATTGTTTGTTATTAAATGAAATGTGATGTATTGGTGAGAAGCAGTCAAATTAAAGGTCTAAATATAACATTTCTCGAGCATCCTTCACCTCCTGCAGAAAGAGCTTTTTCTACCGTTTGACTATTATTACTGCTTTCTTTTCTCTTGTGTTCCAGTGCATCATTTAAGCTCAAAACACCTATTTGTTATTAAATTAAACGTGATTTATTGCTGAGGGTCAGCACACAATTAGAGAACTTTAAACATATACATGTGTGCATCCACATCTCGATATATAATGCATCCATCTTGGGCATTATAAATACATTTTCATCCACATGTTTGTTTTTTTCTACCATTTCCTGTAATGATGAGAAATGGTGATTCGCTGCCTCTCTGCAGCAGATGCTCACTTGTTCTCTCTTTCTGCGTTTTTGCATCCGTCAATTATTCTAATAGTGTTGCCCTTTGCTGACAGGTTAAGAGCATTTTTATCTGCATTGTTTTCCAGGGCAGCTAAAGGGCTCGCGACCCCAACAATCAGAGTAATTGAATAGTTGGATAAATTGAATGATCTGCAGGGGAGAAGTGTGTAATGAAAATAAAGCGAGACCAGAGGATTCCTGCACCTTATGCATGTATAATATAGACATACATATAGGCCTGCACCTGGTGTGAGAAGTTTCAATGTGTTGCGTGAAATTCCTGCAACATCCCATCCTCCTTTTTTGAATCAGCTTGATGTGCGTTTTCATTTGACTAAAATGACATTTGGAGCATTAAGCAGCGGCTTATGGGATTGTGTTTCCTGCACAATATAAAGGATGTGAGACAATGGATGAGCAGTCCGTGTGTTCGGGAATACACGGGAAACATGCGGAGGAACAGCAGCAAGATGTAGCAGAGGATATTTCAAACGCAAAATGCGGCACTGTTTTTAGCGTTTACGCACTTTCTGCGCACTGCGAAACAATTATATTCTATATATATTTGTAATTGTATTTAACGTTTTTATTCCACCAAAGAAAAATCTGTTAATTATTATCATTATTCATATTATTATTTTAATTTATTCTATAATATTAAATAAGATGATTTATATGCTAATATTTCTGATTATACACAACATTATTACAGGCTTTGTTATATTTCTCCTAGGTTTTTTATATACACAATGGCTATTGACAACCTCCAACAATGCAAGATTAATATAGCCTAAAGAAATACAAATAATGCAAAAAGAAATAGAAGTAATTTAAATGGATAATTATTAGATGAAAAGTGCCGAAAAATCTGTAACATTTACCCAAATTATGACGAATTTGGATGAAATCAAATCGCCTGAAACGTGTGCGTGTATTTCTCTCTCTGTGTGTGTGTTCTGTGTGTGTGTGTGTGTGTGTGTGTGTGTGTGTGTGTGTGTGTGTGTGTGTGTGTGTGTGTGTGTGTGTGAGTGTTGCTTTTCTTCCCTCCTCTTGATCTAAATTGGAAGCGAAGACTGAGTTCATCTCCCTGAACCTCCGGCCCTCCGCAGGGACTCGGCTCCTTCAGCTCCCCGGGAATCAGCCTCACTCTCCGGCCGTGAGATGAGGAGTGTCAGCGGGCAGGTGCAGGTGGATGTGACGCGGACGTGTGTCCCATAAAGCCATGCTCATAGTGACAGCTCAGTGTGCCATGTGGACATACATTTAAAGTGATGGAAGGAGGCTGTTTTTAAGAGAATGAACAGATTACAATTACAACCATGGTTGTAATTGTAATCTGTTCATTCTCTTCTACATTCTCTTTCTACATTTAGATGTGCACATCTAAATGTAGAAACGAGTTCTAGCTCGATTTGGTTCATTTCATTTTGGTGATATCAGTGTATCACTTTCTAATATCAGAATCAGAATTCCTTTATTAGAGGGGAAATCTACAGCAAAGACACAGCACTGATAGACACAATACAACAGTTTTAAAACCGTATTAAGTGGGCATTCATACAAAAATAACACATTTCAAGAAAAAAACAAAGCAGAATGACAGTAGTAAATGTAGTATAAAGTATATATATTTTACGTTACAAAATTGTTGTTACAGGTGTTTGGGAATGCAACATGAATACGCAGCCAGTGTGCACAACATATACTATGATATAATATTGAACATTTTCCAAATATGTTAGAAAATAAATGGACCAATGACCACAAAGTTCCTTCTGTTTTGGTTGCATGGAACCCTCCTCTTCCTTTGAGCTTGCGCTATTCATTTTTTATAATTACAACCACATCTAAGCTACACGTCTTATAGCTCAATTACAATTACATATGAAATGAATGGATCTAATTTAATTTGGTGATATAGTTCATATGTCACCATCCCACTTCCAATAATGTTGAATATACTTTCCAAAAAGGGTCAAAAATAATTGTAGAAATGATCACACAGTCTTGAAATGACTGCAGCAGTGAATCTGCAAGGGAAACTATCCTCCTTTTTTACAAATCCCTAAGTTAAAAAGTTCCCGCTTCTCCTCATGGGACCATTTGCTGATTATTAAACTTTCATTAATATTTTCCAAAAGGGCTCAAAATAAATGATCGTGCAATGGAAACGCAGCAGTGAAATCTGCAAGGAAAACTCTCAATCTTTTTTTATAAATCCCTTAAATAAGTTCCTGCTCCTGCACGCTGCACGCGGGACCCTCCTCTCCCCCTGGCTCGCGGCCCCTCCACGAGCCACTGCAGCACTGAGAGCTATTTAAAGTCTCTCCAGGATGCAGGTCCCGCCTCTCGGGGGACTAGTGTCCGCCGGAGCCTCTCCTCCTCCTCCCGGTCACCTATGGAGGATGCTTTCCGCCACCGGGGGCCTCCTCTTCCTGCGCTCCCATTGGCCCTCCACGGCGATGACGTCACGCCCGCAGCCGCCCCTGCAGCGCTGCATGGAGCAGTTAGCCCGTCGGAAACATTTCCAAAAACAGCTCGGCACGGCACGACACGGACACCCAGACCCCGGGGATCATATACTGACTAACAGGGACAGATTCTGGGACAGTGAGGAAGGAACCCCCCCCTCCTCCTCCTCGACCCCCAGTCCACCTGCACACAGAGGAGCCATCATACTTTTTTTTTTTTGATTCTCCAGAAGACAGGACGGGTGTTGCGGGTGTATGCGCGCGGATCACGATGATGCAAAGTGCGGTGGTCCTACCGACAGAGAGTCCCGTGAAGAGTTTACCGGAGATCCTCGGAGTGCCACTGCAACGTAAGACATTTATTACCCTCCTTATTGAAGAGGAAAGTGGGCAACCGGTTTTTTTGCGTTAGATCCGGGGGGGGGGGGAGTGAGTGTAAATCGGCCGAGGATGAGGAGGAGAGGAGAGCTGAGAGTCTCTGCAGGCCGATGATGTGTCATGCTGCTTATATTCCTTAAATAATAATACTGATGAAAGCAGAGCAGTGGACATCCCGTGCGTCACATCACAGCCTGTAGTCGGCGGAGGACTATATATATATATATATATATATGATTTATTCTATATATTTTTAAAGCAACAGCATTTAATTGTTAAACTTTGCAGCATGTTGTTTCCTGCAGGCAGCTGCAATGTGTCCACAGGTCACACGCAGTTGTCACCACCCAGCAGACACACGCACACACTTTGATTGGCAGGTCAAAACACACCTTAAATCAGGATATACAATTAAGGATTTACAGCTGCGTAATATTTCCTTTGTAGCTTTTTGTTCAGGATAAAACCAAGTGTTTATCGCAGAACTATTTTCGTGCATCAAAGGCGAGTATCACCTTCTGTTCCTCCGGAGTGTTAATCTCTCCCTTTATAATCTGCAATCAAGATGGAAGAGGAACATCTCTGCTGCTCTGACCTGATTATTAAAGGACAGTTAGCATGTCAGATGGAGCTGGAGTGTAAAGGGCTACCTGCAGAAACCACAACAACTAAATAGGATCATGCAGTGAGATCATTAGGGTTCAAAGCCCTAAAATAACAAAACGTCCTTCTGCTGTAGGCCAAAAATAATCTTGAGAAAATACGTTTTTCCTGTAAATATGAAAGGGTAATCAAAGACACATTTGGCTTAGAAATAACCAGAAAATATATATAATTATTTATTTGCATCACGTTGCTCCGGCCTGTTTAGTTTCAACAACACAAATGCAGGATAAATAAATACAAATAATTAGTGTGATTTTAGATTTCCTGTATTTAAAGGGAATAAAGAGACTGTGTGTTGGTCGGCTTATGCTCTTTAATTTGATAAATCGAGGCAGATTAAAAGATTGGATAAAGATCCTGCCACTCAGCCCCCTGCAGGGCCTCTGTTCTATCCTGGATTTAAAACCTGGATTATTCCAGGAATAAAAAGCAACACATTTTATTCCGTGGACTCTGCTGACTCAGGGTAAAAATAGAGCTCCAAAAAGCACGAACCTGCAGGAAATACAGTGTTTACTTTAGGTGTAATTACCACAAATCACTGCACAATTTGAAAGTATGAGAGGCTGCCAGAATACACTTATTCTTATAGATATATATTTTAAAAAAAAAGCGTATTAGCTGCTAGACTTTTTCTGACGTGGTCCACTTCCTGATGTGACGGAGGCGATGAGACTGGATTGAAAGAGTGGAGAGTGGCAACAGATACCAAGACACACACACACACACACACACACACACACACACACACACACACACACACACACACACACACACACACACACACACACACACACACACACACACACGCACACACCGTTGCCAAGATTGAGCTGCTTTCCTTTCAGCACCACTGCTCTCCTCGGTCTTATCTCCAGATGTTTAAAATGCCTCTAATTTCTCGTCAAAATAAAAAAGGAAGACATCAAATCAAATGCAATCTTATTTAAATATGTTCCCCTATCCTCCCTGTAAGGATCAGTCACTATGGAGGTGAGACAAAGCCACTATACCCTGCCTCTCTCTGCAGGAATGTGACTTCCTGTTATGGATCTTTTTATATGCTGCTTTAAATCTGCAAAATGAAGCAACATAGGGTGGATATTATCTGCAAATATGTTCATTTCCTATTCTTTTATAGGTAAACATGAAGTCATCAAAACATTCAAAACACATTTTGACTGAGCTACCTTCATTTTTCAGTCATACATTATCGTATTTGTCATTTAAAGCTGCAATACACTTTTCCTGCATTTTTAGTATTGGAAAATGCATTTAGTTGAATATAGATAATGTGCGTGTCCACGTTGTGTGTGTGTGTGTGTGTGTGTGTGTGTGTGTGTGTGTGTGTGTGTGTGTGTGTGTGTGTGTGTGTGTGTGTGTGTGTGTGTGTGTGGCTCGACCTCCATGTTGCACAGAGAGCTGTGTGTTCCTTCAGACGGTGTGATCAGATTAAGCACGAGGCTTCTTGAGCTTTATAGCTGGATGATGTTTTGTCTCGACAGTGAGCAGCGTGTGTGTGTGTGTTGTGTATATATTATACGCGTGTGAATGTGTGTGTTTGTGTGTGCGTGCGTGTATATATACGTGTGTGAATGTGTGTGTTCGTGTGTCAGTGAGTGTGTGTTTGCTCTGTTGTTTTCTGGCGTTTGCTCGGTGCATTTATTCTCGGTATTGATTTTTCATTATCGGATATCATGCGCTGTTTGACTAAGTGAAACCACGAAGGAGCATTTTATTAATAAAAAAAAAAGGCAGTTATTTACAGAACATTTAAAAAAGATATATATACTTGTAATGAAAGGACAAGGCCTTGTTCGGCAATATAAACCCCGGATTAAGTCCTTGTTAAATACGATTAAAATATTGAGTGTAATTATGGCTAAACTCTTGTTATAAATGAACCAGCCCTGATATAGCGTGCATTTGGTTGTTTATTGAAGGCCCAGCTTGCAGCGGAAATATGCATTTTGAGATGGATGAACATCAGACTGTCCTTGAGTTATCATTTCGATGTCACCTTTAAAATATGTGCAGTTTACAGCAGATCATCGCTGCAGAAGCTTTCAAACGTGAAGGAATCGGGAGGTTAAACGCGGGCCATGTTTCTGCTGCACATGTGGTCGTGTTTGAAGAAAAACTACGACATTGAATCTATTTTTGACCCTTTTTGCCACCGTGGAGCTAAAACACCCTGCACAGATTAAAAGGCTAAAGAGGAACCAAATTGGTCGAAAAATGATCATAAAAGTCAATATATTTGTCAGAAAGTAGTCCCTCTCTCTTTTTACTGCCGGGACAAAGCTCCGAGCTCAGCCCCTGATGAGACGGAGATATTCCACAAAGCCTTCCAACACAAAAAGACCCACACTCATTATTTCATCGTTTTAAATAAAGAATACCGTGTTTTTATTGTTTAACAAAGATAATGCAATTAAATAAAAATGCTACGTATATTACGTTATTTAAAGTAATGAAAAATAAGACAAAAGTGTGTTAAAAAATAAAAGAAATAACATAAAAACAAACCGAATAGGAATGAGATAAACATATGTTTAACATGGCTGATCAGACAATTGAACGACAGGGCTGATACAAGCTTTTGAGTATATCAAATATAGCCAAATACTATTTATAAAATGTACATAATGACATTTAATTGAATTTGTATAAGGGTTTTTATATATCCAGTCTGGGTTTAAAGTAGGAAATGAAACCAAATTAGGCTACTAATGAAATATTGTGCTTTTTCACGACGCATTCTGGGACAAATCCACTGCAAACATATCCAGATATTAGAAAAGCTGTCAGTCAAGAAAAGATGGGATGATGGCATTAGAGAGCAAAAAGAAAAAGGCACTGAGGATCAGTCTAAACCACCGTACCGTGGCTGTAAACACATCCTTTATGTTTCTGTGTACATAGGCTGTCTCGATATTAAAGCATGAGAAATAAATGGGAGAGAAGGAGAAATGAACGCTCTGGAGATAACTGGATAAATAGTGTAATATAGTGCAACACATCGGATATAATGTATGAAATTGTCCTTATTCTACGCTTGCATGAACCCATGTATTCCCCCTGTTTCTACCGGGTGTTCTGACTGTCCTCTCCCCTCAGAAATCCCTCATTGCGCCGGCTGCAGTCAACACATCCTGGACAAATTCATCCTGAAGGTGCTGGACCGACACTGGCACTCCAAGTGCCTGAAGTGCGCCGACTGCACGGCTCCTCTGCAGGACAAATGCTTCTCCCGGGCCGGAAGCGTGTACTGCAAGGAGGACTTCTTCAAGTGAGGCTCCTTCTTATTTTATTAAGATATATATATATATATATGTGTGTGTGTGTGTGTGTGTGTGTGTTCATGGTTGCAGTGGTGGAAAAAGCATTCAGATTCTCGAGTAATTAAGCACTCTTCAGAACTGTTACAGGATGTGTATTTTGTAAATTGTAACGGCTAGCCTACTTGTTATTAGCATATTAGCATATATACAACGCCATTATTTCGAGATATCCCGGTATTATTGCAGTAAGTTTTTATCAGCTTTAATGTTTATTTCTGAACCAAAACAGCTATAAAAAAATGCTGGTAATATTATTTTATTTTGGTGAATAATTATTCTGTCCAAGTCAATTTTGAGTTTAACACCTATCATTTTGCCAGGCTGTTATAAATGGATGGTACCATAATGGACTTTTTATGCTTAATTATATGAATTGCATAATAATATTGCAGACGGTATTCTCTATTACTAATTTAAAAATAATAATAGGTCACCTAAATGCCCTTTTATGTTGATATTGAAAGAGTAAGCAACACCTTTCAAAATAAGAGTTCAAAAGCCCTTTCTTTCTTTCTCTCTTGCCGTCAAACGATTGGCATCAAAGAAAGACAATTGAGTTTGACTTTCATCCAGAACAGGATCAGCAGATCGGAGCGTTTTACCAAATCATGTTGGAGAGGTTTTAATGCTCAGAGCCTGAATGAGAGCTAAAGAGCTCTGGAGACTCAGTGAGAGCTAACAGTGTTAGCCCCCCCCAGGGACACGGGGGACGTTAGCATGGTGTGGTGAGGAACACGTGTGTGTGTGTGCGTGCGTGTGTGACTGTACATACTCACAGCAACATACACACATTCAGAGGTGGAAGAAGTACTCAGGTCTTGTACTTGAGTAAAAGTAGAAGTACTCAGGTCTTGTACTTGAGTAAAAGTAGAAGTACTCAGGTCTTGTACTTGAGTAAAAGTAGAAGTACTCATATATTGTACTTGAGTAAAAGTAGAAGTACTCTGATCTTGTACTTGAGTAAAAGTAGAAGTACTCAGATCTTGTACTTCAGTAAAAGTAGAAGTACTCAGATCTTGTACTTGAGTAAAAGTAGAAGTACTCAGGTCTTGTACTTGAGTAAAAGTAGAAGTACTCAGGTCTTGTACTTGAGTAAAAGTAGAAGTACTCATATATTGTACTTGAGTAAAAGTAGAAGTACTCTGATCTTGTACTTGAGTAAAAGTAGAAGTACTCAGATCTTGTACTTCAGTAAAAGTAGAAGTACTCAGATCTTGTACTTGAGTAAAAGTAGAAGTACTCAGATCTTGTACTTGAGTAAAAGTAGAAGTACCAGAGTGTAGGAATACTCTGTTACAGTAAAAGTCCTGCATTCAAAATGTTCCTCAAGTAAAAGTAGAAAAGTATTCTCATCAAAATATAGTGAAAGTAGCGACAGTAAAAGTAGTCATTGTGCAGATTGATCCATTTCAGAATAATATATATATATGTTTTATAATGATTGATCATGAAAGTGTTCTCAAAGCTGGTGAAGGTGCAGCTAGTTTGAAGTACTTTGTATACTGCAGGGTAGCTGGTGGATTTACTCCAGGTGGAACTAAAGTCTGATTCAACACTTGGTTATATTTCACATCATTCATCCACATCTGTGAAGTAACTAAAGGTATTTAATACATGTAGTGGAGTAGAAGTACACAGTATAGCATCAAATGGAAATACTAAATTGTACTTGAGCAAATGTACTTAGTTACTCTACACTACTGTACACACACACACACATGCACGCATGCACACACACACACACACACACACACACACACACACACACACACACACACACACACACACACACACACACACACACACACACACACACACACTTCCAGAGGCTGTGTTTCTCAGCAGTGATTTGGAGGCTTCACCTCGCTCTTTTTATTTCCTGGGTTGGCGCTGTGATTGAAAGCCTCTCCTGAGTCTGTGCTTTATTGGTTCTCCTCAGGGTGTGTTTTACTGTGGGCACCCCTCCTCCTCCTCCTCCTCCTCCTCCTCCTCCTCCTCCTCCTCCTCCTCCTCCTCCTCCTCCTCCTCCTCCTCCTCTTTAGCTCTCAGTACTTCATCTGCAAACACATAAACATGCAAACATGCAAACACCACACACACACACACACACACACACACACACACACACACACACACACACACACACACACACACACACACACACACACACACACACACACACACACAGTGCATTGATCCTCTCCATCCATCAGCCTGCAGACAGCTCCATCGTTAACAGAAATGCTCCACTGCTGATTTTTCTCTGCGACAGCTGGAGCTTCTGTAGCTCTGACTCTGTGCCATCAGTCCTCCTGAGGAGATGAGCAATATCTGTCTGGCAGCAGGAGACATTTAATCTGGGTCGGTGTCGCTAACACCACCAGCCTGCAAAGTGAAGAGGGCGTAAGCAGGTGGAGGAAGTACTCAGATCGTGTACTTGAGTAAAAGTAGAAGTACTTAGATACAGTATGTTTAAATGAATACCATAAAATACCAGCTCCAACCGAAGGCTTTGTTCAAAATGTAGGTCTAACGCACTCTTAAAGGTTTGGACACTCTCTGCCTCTCTGATTAAAACTAACAGACCTGGGAGCGTAATGTTCTAGCGGGGCGATCGTGGATTAAAATATATTTTAGGTACGAAGGTGCTTAGTTCCTTAGTTACATAACACCACTGTGAACAGAGGCTCATGTCTTGTTGTAAATGTTCTAACGTCACTCTCTTGTTCTTCCTGCAGGAGGTTTGGAACAAAGTGTGCCTCGTGCCAGCAGGGCATCCCCCCCACTCAGGTGGTGAGGAAGGCGCAGGACTTCGTGTACCACCTGCACTGCTTCGCCTGCATCATGTGCTCCAGGCAGCTGGCCACCGGGGACGAGTTCTACCTGATGGAGGACGGGAGGCTGGTCTGCAAGGTGGACTACGAGACCGCCAAACAGAACGGTATGATCTTGTCGTCCCTGTACGGAGAAGTGTTCTAGACTCTGTCTGTCGGTTCCTCAGAAGATACAAGTGTGTTTTCTGGGTGTGTGTGTGTGTGTGTGTGTGTGTGTAGGTGTGTGTGTGTGTTCTGGGTGTGTGTGTGTTTATGCATGTGTAGGTGTGTGTGTATGCGTGTGTGTGTATATGCGTGTATGTGTGTGTGTGTGTATGTGTGTGTGTGTGTTCTGGGTGTGTGTGTGTTTATGCATGTGTAGGTGTGTGTGTATGTGTGTGTGTAGGTGTGTGTGTGCATGTGTGTGTGTGTGTGTGTTTATGCAGGTGTAGGTGTGTGTGTGTGTGTGTGTGTTTATGCATGTGAAGGTGTGTGTGTGTATGTGTGTGTGTGTATGTGTGTACGTGTGTATGTGTGTATGTGTGTGTGTATGTGTGTGTATGTGTATGTGTGTGTGTGTATGTGTGTGTGTGTGTGTGTATGTGTGTGTGTGTGTGTGTGTATATGTGTATGTGTATGTGTGTGTGTGTGTGTGTGTGTGTGTGTGTGTGTGTGTGTGTGTGTGTGTGTGTGTGTGTGTGTGTGTGTGTGTGTGCTGTCTCTCCGTTGAGACTTCCATGCATTGATTGATTATGTAAAGTGAAGCTGTTATGAGGCTGTGAGGATTTATGTCCTCTGCTGTGGGACTTGGACAGATGCACAAGGACAATAATATACTCCTGTACACCAATACTCACTTCATTTAACATGCACAGGCAGAGTGTGTGTGAGAGGAAGTCACTCACACTTGTAATGGTGTGTTTTCAGATGATTCAGAGGCGGGGACCAAGAGGCCGAGGACCACCATCACCGCCAAGCAGCTGGAGACCCTGAAAAGTGCCTACAAAAACTCCCCAAAACCTGCCCGTCACGTGCGGGAGCAGCTGTCCTCGGAGACGGGGCTGGACATGAGGGTGGTGCAGGTACAGGGGAGAATATCTATGCACTCTGACATGTTTAAAACACTACAAGGGTCATTCCAGAATTGGAGGACAATTTAGACTCCAACATTTTTGAAAAAGGAACCTTTTATTTTATAATTTTTTTTATGTATTTAGGAAAAACAGATAATAAACCATCAAAAAAAGGGATTTGCCCAGCTAGGCATCAAATGTATATTTTCCAATGAAGAATTACCCCTATTACTCTAATTACAGTAACAGGGTTAAATCAATGCTAATTTGAGCTTTAACCTCAGGAAGTATTATTATTATTGCAAGACAAGTATGTTTAACACAACAAGTGCATGTTTTAGCATTTTGGGCATGGATTATTAGATTTTTTATATGGGGGACATGACATGTCCTCCAATTCTGGAATGACCCACAAACACTTGATCTGTGTCGTCAGAATATGTCCTTTACACGATAAGACCTAATAACTTAAAGGGGACCTATCATGCAAAATGCACTTTGTGATGTCTTTTATACATCAACTGTGGAACGACCTGCCCTTGCTCATCAGACAGGCTCCCACACTGACTGCTTTTAAATCTCGTCTTAAAACCCACCTCTTCTGCTTGGCATTCAGAAACAAGTAGATTGTTGCTTTTATTTGCTTTCAGTGGTCTATTGTTTTTATTATATGGCTGTTATTTATTTTTTAATTATTACGTTTATTCTGGTTTGCTTTGTGTTTGTATCTTGTATTTTAAATGTATTTATATTATGTTGTGTGAGCTTATCTCTCTGTACAGCACTTTGGTCTGAAGGTTTTTAAAGTGCTATATAAATAAAGTTGGATTGGATTGTGTCCCCGGTGCGTCGGGGAACTCACGCAGCGTCAGGAAATAAAACCCTCTCTCTTTTCCTCCGTACCCAAATCTTTTAAAAACGGGGAACAACGAGCGGATACAGATTCCATCCGAACTGATGTGTCCATCCGAGGTGACGTCGGCGGACCCACAGAAAGTTGCTATCAGAAACTATGCCTGACGTGTTTTGGACGTCTTTGTTTACATTAGCATCGCTAACACTCAGAGCTAACCTTTACTGGAGAGCACATGTGTTTAAAAAGCAGGAAATAAAGAAAGGAACTCACCTTGTGATAAACCTGCAAGAGAAAAAGCATTTGAGCTCCAAACTGTTTCAGAGATAATCCTTGATGTGGTTTAGAACAGGATGGCGTTTTATCACAGCAGAATTTAACTTTATCTCTGGTAGAATTCTGATCAGGCATTAGCTCCGCCTCCTCTTTTATTTTTTTTCAAGCTAAGGACCCAAAATCTGCATTTCTCTAACAGGGCTTCAAAAGAGGGGTTTGAGCAGCGTGGCTGCAATGGATGATCTGTTTGGTATTTTGAAAATAAAACTTCACTGACATGTTTTGTTTAGGTATGGCCCTACAATATATGTTTCAAATATAGCATAGGTCAGTGGACCTATCCTATATTTGAAACATATATTTTAAGAAGTAACAATGCAGTGAGATATGGAGTCTTGTTTTTAGACAATGCATCTTTAAAGGTCCCCTATTATACTATTTCTTTCATCGATATATCATAGTTCTCATATATAACCAGAACACGCCTCTGAAGGACTTTGTTTAAAACACTACAGACACTTGATCTGTGTCGTCAGAATGAAGCTGAAATCCAGCACCAGACACTTTGTACGCTGCTATGGACACTCTTGCACTAATGTACATTTTTTGAAGTGACAGTTATTTTGTATTGATTGTTGTGTTTTATTTAGGTCTTAATGTGTAGATATGTATAATTGTGTCTTTTGATTGTGTATATATAGGTATTTTCATTTCATTTCAAACCTTTATTAAATCCCATTGAGATCATTGATCTCTTTTTCAAGGGAGACCTGCTCAATAGTATATATACATATTTGCCTACATATTTTTATATATATTTGTTTGTTGAAAGGTGCTATATAAATAAACGTGCCTTGCTTTGCCTAAATGTTAATGTTATTTTCTCCTTCAGGTGTGGTTCCAGAACCGGCGAGCGAAGGAGAAGCGTCTGAAGAAAGACGCAGGGCGACATCGCTGGACTCAGTTTTATAAAAGTGTGAAACGTAACAGAGGGGGAACCAAAGTGGAGAAAGAGAGCTCGGCCGACGACGCAGGGCTGAGCGACAGCGAGCTGAGCTTCAGAGGTACGAGATACTCAGTACTCAGATCCTTTCCTAAGTAAAAGTACTAATACTATAGTTGTAAAATTAAAATACTCAATTACTCAAGTGACAGTTCTGATTGGTTCCTAAAAAGTACTCATTCTGCACAATGACCCATTACAGGATAATATCAAGTAAAGAAGTCAGGTAAATGTAAAACAACACAAATATCCAAAGTTAAAGTACTTTAAAAGTTAAAGTATCGTTTCACAGATCGTTCTCCAATGTGTAGTTCCTCTACTTTAAAGAATCCTCTCCTGCTGATGTTCAGGTGTATATCAGTATGTAGTGCCTCTACTTTAAAGAGTCCTCTCCTGCTGATGTTCAGGTGTATATCAGTATGTAGTGTCTCTACTTTAAAGAGTCCTCTCCTGCTGATGTTCAGGTGTATATCAGTATGTAGTGTCTCTACTTTAAAGAGTCCTCTCCTGCTGATGTTCACGGTGTATATCAGTATGTAGTGTCTCTACTTTAAAGAGTCCTCTCCTGCTGATGTTCAGGTGTATCAGTATGTAGTGTATCTACTTTAAAGAGTCTCCTCTCCCTGCTGATGTTCAGGTGTATATCAGTATGTAGTGTCTCTACTTTAAAGAGTCCTCTCCTGCTGATGTTCAGGTGTATATCAGTATGTAGTGTCTCTACTTTAAAGAGTCCTCTCCTGCTGATGTTCAGGTGTATATCAGTATGTAGTGTCTCTACTTTAAAAGAGTCCCTCTCCTGCTGATGTTCAGGTGTATATCAGTATGTAGTGTCTCGACTTTAAAGAGTCCTCTCCTGCTGATGTTCAGGTGTATATCAGTATGTCGTGTATCTACTTTAAAGAGTCCTCTCCTGCTGATGTCAGGGTATATCAGTATGTAGTGTCCTCTACTTTAAAGAATCCTCTCCTGCTGATGTTCAGGTGTATATCATCAGTATGTAGGGTCTCTACTTTAAAGAGTCCTCTCCTGCTGATGTTCAGGTGTATATCAGTATGTATTGCTCTACTTTAAAGAGTCCTCTCCTGCTGATGTTCAGGTGTATATCAGTATGTAGTGTATCTTACTTTAAAGAGTCCTCTCTGCTGATGTCAGGGATGTGTATATCAGTATGTAGTGTCTCTACTTTAAAGAGTCTCTCCTGCTGAGTGTTCAGGTGTATATCAGTATGTAAGTGTCTCTACTTTATAAAGAGTCCTCTCCTGCTTGTTCAGGTGTATATCAGTATGTAGTGTCTCTACTTTAAAGAGTCCTCTCCTGCTGATGTTCAGGTGTATATCAGTATGTAGTGTCTCTACTTTAAAGAGTCCTCTCTGCTGATGTTCAGGTGTATATCAGTATGTCGTGTCTCTACTTTAAAGAGTCCTCTCCTGCTGATGTTCAGTGTATATCAGTATGTAGTGTCTACTTTAAAGAGTTTCTCCTGCTGATGTTCAGGGTGTATATGCATGTAGTGTCTCTACTTTAAAGAGTCCTCTCCTGCTGATGTTCAGGTGTATATCAGTATGTAGTGTCTCTACTTTAAAGAGTCCTCTCCTGCTGATGTTCAGGTGTATATCAGTGTGTAGTGTCTCTACTTTAAAGAGTCCTCTCCTGCTGATGTTCAGGTGTATATCAGTATGTAGTGTCTCTACTTTAAAGAGTCCTCTCCTGCTGATGTTCAGGTGTGTATCAGTATGTAGTGTTTCTACTTTAAAGAGTCCTCTCCTGCTGATGTTCAGGTGTATATCAGTATGTAGTGTCTCTACTTTAAAGAGTCCTCTCCTGCTGATGTTCAGGTGTATATCAGTATGTAGTGTCTCTACTTTAAAGAGTCCTCTCCTGCTGATGTTCAGGTGTATATCAGTATGTAGTGTCTCTACTTTAAAGAGTCCTCTCCTGCTGATGTTCAGGTGTATATCAGTATGCAGTGTCTCTACTTTAAAGAGTCCTCTCCTGTTGATGTTCAGGTGTATATCAGTATGTAGTGTCTCTACTTTAAAGAGTCCTCTCCTGTTGATGTTCAGGTGTATATCAGTATGCAGTGTCTCTACTTTAAAGAGTCCTCTCCTGCTGATGTTCAGGTGTATATCAGTATGTAGTGTCTCTACTTTAAAGAGTCCTCTCCTGCTGATGTTCAGGTGTATATCAGTATGTAGTGTGTCTACTTTAAAGAGTCCTCTCCTGCTGATGTTCAGGTGTATATCAGTATGTAGTGTCTCTACTTTAAAGAGTCCTCTCCTGCTGATGTTCAGGTGTATATCAGTATGTAGTGTCTCTACTTTAAAGAGTCCTCTCCTGCTGATGTTCAGGTTGTATATCAGTATGTAGTGTCTCTACTTTAAAGAGTCCTCTCCTGCTGATGTTCAGGTGTATATCAGTATGTAGCTGTCTCTACTTTAAAGAGTCCTCTCCTGCTGATGTTCAGGTGTATATCAGTATGTAGTGTCTCTACTTTAAAGAGTCCTCTCCTGCTGATGTTCAGGTGTATATCAGTATGTAGTGTCTCTACTTTAAAGAGTCCTCTCCTGCTGATGTTCAGGTGTATATCAGTATGTAGTGTCTCTACTTTAAAGAGTCCTCTCCTGCTGATGTTCAGGTGTATATCAGTATGTAGTGTCTCTACTTTAAAGAGTCCTCTCCTGGCTGATGTTCAGGTGTATATCAGTATGTAGTGTCTCTACTTTAAAGAGTCCTCTCCTGCTGATGTTCAGGTGTATATCAGTATGTAGTGTCTCTACTTTAAAGAGTCCTCTCCTGCTGATGTTCAGGTGTATATCAGTATGTAGTGTCTCTACTTTAAAGAGTCCTGTCCTGCTGATGTTCAGGTGTATATCAGTATGTAGTGTCTCTACTTTAAAGAGTCCCCTCCTGCTGATGTTCAGGTGTATATCAGTATGTAGCGTCTCTACTTTAAAGAGTCCTCTCCTGCTGATGTTCAGGTGTATATCAGTATGTAGTGTCTCTACTTTAAAGAGTCCTCTCCTGCTGATGTTCAGGTGTATATCAGTATGTAGTGTCTCTACTTTAAAGAGTCCTCTCCTGATGATGTTCAGGTGTATATCAGTATGTAGTGTCTCTACTTTAAAGAGTCCTCTCCTGCTGATGTTCAGGTGTATATCAGTATGTAGTGTCTCTACTTTAAAGAGTCCTCTCCTGCTGATGTTCAGGTGTATATCAGTATGTAGTGTCTCTACTTTAAAGAGTCCTCTCCTGCTGATGTTCCGGTGTATATCAGTATGTAGTGTCTCTACTTTAAAGAGTCCTCTCCTGCTGATGTTCAGGTGTATATCAGCACATTGTCAGTAACCCTAATGAAATTGATGGAGCTGCTAAATGAAACGCTGCTGCAGAATTGAATGGTTGTTTTCTTGCATTGTTCGATACAAAGAATCTCATTCACATTCCCCTCACACCCCCTGCCGCCGTGATGGAGCTTATTGGAGCACAGAGAGGCTTCTTAGTGGGATGCAAACGACAGCTCGGACATCCCGGTGTTATTTAATGTTGCAAAACCCGTTTTGGGCGCAGTCGTAAAAGTCTTCGAGCCACTTTTAAAAAAGAAAGGCCCGTTTTTATGAGAAATGAAAACATGGTGACAGAAACTCTATAAAGCACGCGGGGCTTTTAGTCAATTAGAGAGAAAGCGCTCTGTGTTGTTATTGAAGCCACTCGGGGGAGGGATGGAGATGGAAACAAATATATGCTGCAGCGATCGCACACATACAGACCTCCTGATGCTGGAGAGGGAGAAGAGGCACAGATCAAACACCAAGCACTGGCTCAGCCTCCACTTACTGCACCTGTGAAACCCCAATAACTCTCACCCATAAAAGCACTTAACTGTATTGAAGAATAACAACTATATAATGCTTTTGCAGTTGACAGCACTGTTGATGTGTTAAAGTTTTAACACGCCTCATGCTAAGTGAAGGTGATGATGAGAGGGAACGTCTCTCCCCGTTAAATATAGGCTTTCTTCTGGAGGTAGAAGGAGCTCATTTACAGTTCAGGGAGTTTGGAGGGAACACAGGGATTTGAGCCTTAGCAGACCATTCACATGCACCAAAATCTACAGAACACACTACAGGAAAGGGAACCCCCAAAGAGCACAATAGGCACTCTTTGCAAATGTTTGACCTGTGATATCAGAATACTGAAGGCCCACCTATGTCCACTAAAGGTCTGCTATCATGCAAAATGCACTTTGTGATGTCTTCTCTACATCACCATGTGTCCCCGGAGTCAGGAGACTCACAAAGTAGGGCTGCTCGATTATGGCAAAAATCATAATCTCGATTATTTGGGTCAATAATTGATATCACGATTATTAAAAACGATTATCCATTTACTTTGAAAACATCCATTTATTGAACAAAATAAATTGAACAGTATGTTTTTAACAGTTGATTACCCTGAACTTTAAGTATGCTTCAACTGAAAAACCAATACAATTTATTTTTTAAAGAAAGAAATAAAAATAATTGAAAGAAATAAAAATAATCGTTTTATTTCGATTATGTTGTTTTCATAATCGTTGCAAGCCAAAATCGATTAAAATACGATTAATTGAGTAACCCTATCGCAAAGTGTCAGAAAACAAAACATCTCTAAAAACGGAGCTGATCCAGATTTGCTGCGTCATGACGACATTACTAAAAATGTGGGCGGGCTTTATATCCACGGGCCAATCAGAAACGTTGCTGTCAGAAACAATGAGACGTGTTCTGGAAGTAATATGGTCGGTGTTTACATTAGCATCGCTAACACTCAGAGCTAACCTGTACTGGAGAGAGTGTGTGAAGAAGCAGGAAATCAAAAGGAAGTCACCTTGTGGTAAACCTGAGAGAGAGAAAGAGTTTGAGCTCCGTACTGTTTCAGAGAGAATCCTTGATGTGGTTTGGAACAGGATGTGGAGCATTTAGCTGAGAATCTGCTTCTCTTCTGCTGTAAAGCTTCTCTCTGCAGCTCTATGTGGCCCCGTAGCTACTGACCCAGAATCAGCACTTTAGTAACAGGGCTGAAACAAAGGGTTTGAGGCTACAATGGGTGATCTGTTTTTGGTGTTGTTGAGCAAAACACTTCAGAGACATGTTTTGTATAGATATGGCCCTACAGTATAATATAGTGTTCAAATATGGCATAATAGGTGAGCTTTAAGCCATTCAACTCTCCAGATAGGCTTTGCAGACCGTTTACATGCACTAAAACCTATAGGAAACACTACAGGAGAGGCTAAACCCCAACCAGCGTAATAGGGCCTCTTTAAGGACAGTGTGTAGTTTGTGATATTTGAATATATATTAATTGACTGTCTCCTAAAAAAACCATTAAACATAAAATCACAATCACTAAGAGAAAACATGCTCAAAGACCCTTTAGGGTGCATTTGATCTAGTGATCACATCTGACAGTTTCAGCTCCTTCTGTACATTATTCCAAGCAGAAGGGCAGCATATGTATGGGTTTAAAGTTTGGTACATTATTGTTGTGTCTGGGGGACACAATGAGGTTTCACATGGACCTGAATGCAAACGTTGACCCATTAATCCCAGTATAAAATCACCAGTAAGTGTTTCATTGGCGCTCTTTATTCACACGTTATATATATATTTGTATTTGGGATTGTGGGAAACGGTATTTCGATCTCTCTGTCTGTACACACAAAGAAAGTTTGAAATATTGACAATAAAGTTGACTTTGAAAAGCTTTTTTACCGAGTTCTGTTCTCCCTTTTTGTGACAGCGCACAACTAACTATCTCTCTCCTCTCCCACAGACGACCAGGTGCTCTCGGACCTCGGCCACACCAACGGGCTGTACGGCAGCGTGGGGGACGTGAACAGCGTGGGGGACGTGAACATCGTGGCGCTGAATGGAAACGGTTTCTCGGTGGACGCGGCGGGACAACAGTATCACGATGACATCCGGGGCGGGAAGTCCCTACGGCCTGCCGCAGTCCCCCTCCTCCATCACCTCGCTGCCCCTCCACAGCCTGGGCTTCAGCATGGACAGTCTGGTGGCTCAGGGTGGGGGGGGGGCAGGGTCTGAGGGCCATGGGAGGGGGGCCCAACTCAGACCTGTCCACAGGGAGTAGTACAGGATACCCCGACTTCCCCACAAGCCCCGCATCGTGGCTGGACGAGATGGACCATTCCCAGTTTTGAATCTCGGAAAAAAAAACACGGCAGAAACGCTGTGGAATCACCTGGCGTTTTACATTTCCTTCTATCAAGACTGGTTTGTGGAAGAAGTGGATCTCAACACATCCCCAAAATGTTCCCATGTTGCCCTAACCCTCCTCCGTACCTCGAGATGGACCATTCCCAGTTTTGAATCTGGTAGACAACACGGCAGAAAGGCAGAAACGCTGTGGACTCACCTGGCTTTTCCAGTTCCATCCCCCCCTCTATCGACCCCCCAAAGGCTGTGAGGAGGAAGAAGTGGATCTCAACACTGAAAGTTCAATCTCCACGGAGGACGATTATGGAGGACACGTGGGAACAGATTTGAGATTTGACCAACCCAAAATTCTGACTTTCTCAAACCATTTTTTATTTTACATTTGGTCAAATCCCAACAGTATTTCCCTCGTGGCCCGTTTCCTCCTCCGTACCTCGAGACCATTCCCAGTTTTCAATCTCGGAAAAAACACGGCAGAAAGAAACGGACTCCATCTGGCTTTTTACATTTCCTTCTATCACTGGTTTGTGATTGTGGGTGAAGAGGAGGAAGAAGTGGATCTGAAAGTTCAATCTCTACAGAAGAGGATTAGGGAGGACATGTGGAAACATATTAGAGATTTGACCAGTTCTAAATCCTGATCCCAAACGGTTTCTTTTTAACATTTGGTCACATCCCTAACATGTTCTCATGTGGCCCTTACCCTCTTCCGTACATCTGAACACTGCTGAAAGTCCAATCTCTACGGAGGACGATTAGGGGGGGACATGTGGAACATTGTTGAGATTTGACCAACTAAAATAAATTCTGACTAATCCCAAAAGTCTGACTCTCAGAAACCACATCTCCCAAAATGTTCCCACGTGGCTCTTATCCTCTTCCGTAAATCGAGATGGACCATTCCCAGTTTTGAATCTCGGAAAAACTCATTTGGCTTTTTACATTTCCTTCTATCACATTGTTGAGATCAGACCAATTCAAAAAAAATTCGGACTTTTTTACATTTGGTTACATCCCAACAATATTTCTCATGTGGCCCTTCTCCCCTTCCGTACATCTCAACACTGTATCATACACTTTTTGTTTTGTTCTGTCACCCTGGGACTGGATTTGGTTGGATTATCTCTCACTTGGTCCCTCAGAAGTACAGACCCCCCCCCAGATACAACTTTAGGGCTACAATCCAGATCAAAGTCCCTACGAGACCCTGCATGCTTCACGGACTGCTGCCTGTCCGAGCCCTTCTTTCCACAGCGGCGACGCACTTTACTCTCCTCCTCTGTTCCTGCGCAGGAGGAGAGACATATGCACAAGGCAACAAACACAGTGTTTCATTGGGAGGGGAATTTACAAGAACAGTGGCACAAGTGTGAATTTTGAAACCATGCTGATGTTTTTTAATGTACTGCTGAAGCTTCTTAGTCCGTACAGAAAGTCCTCCGTTTGCTACACAGCAGATTTTATTTATCCGTATAGCTGTCAGTATTAAAGGAGATAACGTGTTGGAGGAGGAAGCAACCATTTTGAGTAATACATCACATTGAAATTCATATTGATTTTGAACGCAGAGACAAAGAGATTTCATGGAGTGAATAACATTCACCAGGAGGGTAAAAGCGTCTCTCTTGTGTTTCCTCGTCTGATCTGGGATTCTCCGGGTAATCTCCTCTATTCCTGCAGAGCGACCATCCTACTTACCACCCCAGATGTGAGTCAATCTGTTCTCCCTCTGCTGGCCTCCATGTCAGGGGGATTACTGAGAGCCCCCCACGATCCGGGCTCTGCAACCCAGCGCTCACATGGTCACATTAAAGCTGCCCGGCAACAACACACAAGACAAGAGGCACTTTAAGCAAAATGCAGCATTACTATCTGGTGAATACACATCGTACTGGACAACAACAGAGACAAGGCACTTTAAGCGTCTAAAAGTCTCATTTAAGAGCCCGAAAATGACACTAAAACGATTTGGATTGCAGCGTGAATAGATAAATACACATTATTAATTGTAAAAACGTACCGTACAACAACAGAGATAGAAGACAGAGTCACTTTGAGCGTCTAAAAGTCTCTTAAAAATGCAGATTTAGCGCTAATACTTTGATTTGACCTGTTTAAGTCAATCTTATCTGTTTTGTGAAAATTTGCTTTTTTTAAAAAACAGATCATCTTAATGTAAATTCAACCAACAGAAAGGGACACTTTGAAGCAAGCAGATTGGATCACAGCTGACACATTGCAGCGTTAATATCTAAATACACATTATTAATGGAAAACTTACCGGACAACAACTCAGAGAGAAGACCGAGTCACTTTAAGTCTCATTTAAGAGCCAGAAAGCAAATCAACAAACATAAAATGCAACTAAAACAATTTGGATTGCAGCGTAAATATCTAATACACATTAATAATGAAAATCTAACTTCACAACAACTCAGAGAGAAAACCGAGTCACTTTAAGCGCCAAAAAGTCTCTTAAAAATGCAGAGTTAGCGCTAATGCTTCGACCTGTTGAGCCAGTTTGACTCATCCTTACTTTTATTTCAGTTCAAGAAAGTTCATCTTATTTATATCGACACCTTTTTGTTTGTTTTACCAGAGCATCCTATTAAAGAGCCAGAAAGTGACACCATTAAGAAAACACTCTGGATTACAGCCTAAATACCCAGTAAATACACCGTATCCATGGAAACTATACTGGGATTCAATAACAATAATTAATATCAATGACAGTATTAAAACATGTGGGAAATAATTACGTAAAATGGTTATAGCTCCTCCAGAGAGCCTCCTCTCTCCTCTCTCCTCTCTCCTCTCCTCTCCTCTCTCCTCGGTTATAGCTCCTCCAGAGAGCCTCCTCTCTCCTCTGCTCTCTCCTTGGTTATAGCTCCTCCAGAGAGCCTCCTCTCTCCCCTCTCTCCTCGGTTATAGCTCCTCCAGAGAGCCTCCTCTCTCCTCTCTCCTCTGCTCTCTCCTTGGTTATAGCTCCTCCAGAGAGCCTCCTCTCTCCCCTCTCCTCTCCTCTCTCCTCGGTTATAGCTCTCCAGAGAGCCTCCTCTCTCCTCTCCTCTCTCCTCGGTTATAGCTCCTCCAGAGAGCCTCCTCTCTCCTCTCCTCTGCTCTCTCCTCGGTTATAGCTCCTCCAGAGAGCTCCTCTCCCTCTGCTCTCTCCTTGGTTATAGCTTCCTCCAGAGAGCCTCTCTCAGTCCTCTCTCCCCCTCTCCTCTCCTCTCCTCGGTTATAGCTCGTCCAGGAGCTTCCTCTCTCCTCTCTCCTCTCCTCTCCTCTCTCCTCGGTTATAGCTCCTCCAGAGAGCCTCCTCTCTCCTCTCTCCTCTCTCGCTCTCCTCTCCTCCCCTCTTCCTCTCCTCTCTCCTCGGTTTATATCTCCTCCATAGAGCTTCCTCTCTCCTCTCTCCTCTCCTCTCTCCTCGGTTTATAGCTCCTCCAGAGAGCTTCCTCTCTCCTCTCTCCTCTCCTCTCTCCTCGGTTATAGCTCCTCCAGAGAGGCCTCCTCTCTCCTCGGTTTATAGCTCCTCCAGAGAGCCTCCCTCTCTCCTCCTGACCCTAAAGTGCACATGTGTACCCATTACTCCAGTATGAGATCCCCAGTGAGCGCTTCCTTGGTGCTCGTTGTTCACACGTTGTTTTCAGTGTCCTTTGAAGGCCACATGTTGAGGGGGAATCAAACACTTTGGTTAAGTCCGTGTCGTCTCAGCAGTTTGCATCTTGTTGTAAATTTTGTACAGTTTGAAAACGTGTTGTCTTGTTTCATGAGCGCTATTTATTATTATTATTATTATTATTGTTATTATTATTATTGCCATGTGTCTTTGAAAAAGATGTAAAGAGAGCACTGAATGTATTCATTTATGCCTTCTGTGTATGAACCGTGTACAGTCAGATCTATATGAGCAAAATAAAGCTGTCTTTGGGTTACGCCTGATTCGCTCTGCACTCACAAACTACCATCTGATTTCTGCTCAGAATAGTCTCTAAGATCTAAGAAGTAACATGCAGTGAGATATCTTGTTTTTAGAGATTTCTTTGAATCTCTTGAAAACACCTTATTTAGAGTTCGGAAAATCACACATTTTCGTCCGAAAACAGAAAACTTTTGAGCTGATTCTGGTCAAATATAGTTACAGATAAGATTTATTTACAAGATCTGATTGATCTAAATATACCGTCTTATTTCAAGAATTCTTACCGAGCAACATTTCACTTTGGGTAAGGGTTAGTTGTATCTCAGATAAAACATAATTATTTTTACATTTTTATGGAAAAATCACCGACTGCGTCAGAAAATAGAAAACCTTTAAGCATTTCTGGCTTGTTTTGACTTGTTTTGTAACAACATCTCCTGATTCTGGAGAATAAAGCTCAAAATAAGATTTCAGAGCTATTTATAAGATCAGATTCATCTAAATATCCCGTCTTATTTCAAGAATTCTTACCAAGCAACAATTCACTTGCTGTATCGGCAGATTGTTGTACTTATAACAAAAGAAAATACCTTGTTTTCATTATTCTTGTGAGCATCCACTCCTCCCAGTGTAATGGTGACGAATGTGAGAGTTAACATTTGCTTGGCTTTCAATATATCACGAGGAAAAATATCTCTCGTAGGTGTTTTTATTATTTTTGCCCTTATCTAAACGCTCTTAGGGCGAGTTAACCCGCAAATCCATTTACCCATTGAGAGCATTTACCACACACTTAGGCCTCGATTCAATTGTGAGATCCAGTTAGTCCGGCAGCGGACAGTGGTTCGGTTAACGTGATGGATTGATCACTGGGGGGGGGGGGGGGGGGGGGGGGGGGGGGGGGGGTGGGGAGATGGGAGAGGAGGGGTTAATTACATCCACACATCCCTTACTCAAGTAGAAGTACAGATACTCGTGTTTTTAAAAATACTCTAAATTAGAAGTACTGACTAAATACTTCAGTAAAAAGTACCCATAACTAGCAGCTGTTTTAAAGAGTACCTGACCTCCCTTTATATTAATAGAACAATAATGTCATTGTTAGCTAATGAATGTTTCCATGCTGAACAACGGCAACATGACAACGTTTCCATTGGTCCCCTCTTCTTTAGAGAAGACCAGGAAATGATGGATACACGGATCGTGTTCAAATCAATAGGCACGCAATGACTCTAAAGAATAATGATCACGCATCAAACACACATTCAGACTAAAGGAACCAGCTGTTTGGGAAATGAGAGAAGTAGAAAGTACAGGTATTTGAGTTCAAACATGTAAGAAGTAGAAAGTACAGGTATTTGAGTTCAACATGTAAGAAGTAGAAAGTACAGGTATTTGAGTTCAACATGTAAGAAGTAGAAAGTACAGGTATTTGTGTTCAACATGTAAGAAGTAGAAAGTACAGGTATTTGAGTTCAACATGTAAGAAGTAGAAAGTACAGGTATTTGAGTTCAACATGTAAGAAGTAGAAAGTACAGGTATTTGAGTTCAACATGTAAGAAGTAGAAAGTACAGGTATTTGAGTTCAACATGTAAGAAGTAAGTAAAGTACAGGTATTTGAGTTCAACATGTAAGAAGTAGAAAGTACAGGTATTTGTGTTCAACATGTAAGAAGTAGAAAGTACAGGTATTTGAGTTCAACATGTAAGAAGTAGAAAGTACAGGTATTTGGGTTCAACATGTAAGAAGTAGAAAGTACAGGTATTTGAGTTCAACATGTGAGAAGTAGAAAGTACAGGTATTTGAGTTCAACATGTAAGAAGTAGAAAGTACAGGTATTTGAGTTCAACATGTAAGAAGTAGAAAGTACAGGTATTTGTGTTCAACATGTAAGAAGTAGAAAGTACAGGTATTTGAGTTCAACATGTAAGAAGTAGAAAGTACAGGTATTTGGGTTCAACATGTAAGAAGTAGAAAGTACAGGTATTTGAGTTCAACATGTGAGAAGTAGAAAGTACAGGTATTTGAGTTCAACATGTAAGAAGTAGAAAGTACAGGTATTTGGGTTCAACATGTAAGAAGTAGAAAGTACAGGTATTTGGGTTCAACATGTAAGAAGTAGAAAGTACAGGTATTTGAGTTCAACATGTAAGAAGTAGAAAGTACAGGTATTTGTGTTCAACATGTAAGAAGTAGAAAGTACAGGTATTTGAGTTCAACATGTGAGAAGTAGAAAGTACAGGTATTTGTGTTCAACATGTAAGAAGTAGAAAGTACAGGTATTTGAGTTCAACATGTAAGAAGTAGAAAGTACAGGTATTTGAGTTCAACATGTAAGAAGTAGAAAGTACAGGTATTTGAGTTCAACATGTGAGAAGTAGAAAGTACAGGTATTTGGGTTCAAAATGTAAGAAGTAGAAAGTACAGGTATTTGTGTTCAACATGTAAGAAGTAGAAAGTACAGGTATTTGAGTTCAACATGTAAGAAGTAGAAAGTACAGGTATTTGTGTTCAACATGTAAGAAGTCAAAGTAAAAAGTGGTCAGAAAAATAAGTAGTGGAGTAAAGTACTGATACCAGAAACATGTACTTAAGTTCAGTAACGAAGTATTTGTACTCCACTACTTCCCAGCTCTGCTGGAGAGGGAGTAAATAAAGGGAAGCAGATGCCGGCTGATCCTCTCGCTGCTGAAGAGACATGGCAGCAGATTGCAGATCTCAAATCTTCTCTTAATCCCCGTGCTGTTAACTAATTGTAACAGTGCTTTGTGAAATATAGGGAAATATGCTTTGTGCTTTGAGGCAAAGAGGGAATGTGGTCCATATGCCGTCCGTTAGCTTGTATGGAAATACGTCAAGCTGCTATAAAGGGAATAATGCAGCCGGGGTCTTTAACCACCGAGGTCACGAGTCTGATTTTCCTCTAACACCTGTTTTTACTGTACAAAAGTGCAGAGAAACGGTAGCGGGGGTGCTGGAAAATGTCTCTTGATTAACAGTAAGGTATTGTAATATTAAAAACATGGATACACTTTTTTTTTAAAACAGTAATTGTCTTAATAATAATTAAGATCTATAACTGTAATTTTACAAGAAATGTCTCTTTAATTCCATGAAATATATTACTCTAACATATATTAATGGTTAGCATACAATCATACACCACAAAAATAACAAGAATTGTCTTCCTTACAGAAAATGTTATTACAAAAACGACCATTTGCATGTTATGACCTGGCTCAAAAGGCCACAACAAAGTGCAGACACACCATATCAATGGTTAATAAAAGATGTTTATTTAGTAATTCAAATGAATCAAATTAAAGAAGTGCAAAATGAGTAAAGCATGAGGTGTGGACGTCAGTGGTATCATAGTGTAAATGCAGGGTGAGGGTTGCATGGACGTGTATGTGTGAGGGTGGTGAGGTGCACAAAGTAAAGCAACTGAAGTAGCAACAGCATACTCAACCGGGTGCCTGTAGAGAGAAGCAGAGAGACCCAGGTGCCCTGAGTTACTGCAATCAAGGCTGGACAGAGCACAGCCACACCCTCTCCAGATGAACCCACAGGGATCCCGAAAAACCCACATCAAAAAGTACAGAAACATCAATGCCAGTAAATCCGTAAAGCCAACTCGGCTCTCTGTGATGCAGGTAAGTGACTCAACAAGAGGTCCAACTGGCGTAACGACTCTGAGTTCTTCAGCCTACCACATATGACAGGTTCATCTGGCGCCTTAACATCACACCCATCAGCCAACCCTGGAACTTCGATTTGGAGTAGCAATCAAGTACATGCTTTTCAAAGCCAAAGTGTCACAAAAAAATCTGTCCATTTTCTGACAAATCCGTCAAAATTGCTGTAAATGTTTTTCTATAATTCTCTAGGAGAGAGAAACAA